GTGCTGCTAATTGTGTCACCAGCAGGTATATCACAGAATGATGACAAGGATTTGGCATGGCTATTTCTTTTTCTTTACTATTTTTATGCTTTTTAAAAAATATTCCTGAGGACTTGTGCAAGAACACTACAATATCATTCTAACCTAGCAGTAACTGGTGCAGTGGAAACTTCTAGTTTTTCCATTGTGTGTGTGAGAGGGGCTGTATTTGGTATTTTCCAATCCACCTAGAGGTTGCCCCATGATCGCTGTAATTACACCCAGACGGATCGCAACAGCATGATTCCAGATGTTTGGTGTAGCATCTGTATTCCCCAAGCCTTATGCCTCAGTCTAAACCGGTCAGGACTGAATTTGCAGATTATTAAGGATTCTCTCTCATTTCATCCCAGATCTCTTCTGCGCTTCTCAACTGAGAGCTGGGGCTGATTTCCAAGCCCTACATTGCCTGATTACCAGGCAATGTTGCCAGGACAAAGGAAGAGGTGTACTGAGTGGCAGCATCGAAGCATTTCTTTATTTTATTTTTATTTTTTATTTATTTGGTTTGTCAGTTGCTTACAAGATAATAGGTATAAGTAAAAACATAGTTATGAATACATGGATACATATAAGAAAAATTAAAAAAGAAAACAAAAGAAACAATAGGACAAGGACGGTAGGCACTAGGCATGTTGGTGCGCTTATGCACGCCCCTTACAATTTCCTTCTGCTTCACCCAAATCCCCCCTCTGAAGTTTAATCAATCAATTCATTTGGCCATTCACCAATTGTTCTTAACAACTCCAGGCAGTTTATAAGATAACAAAGGGCTAAAGCAAAAGGGAAACTTGAGAGGTGGCTAATCCCACCATTCCACTGCACCCCACCTTAAGTGAAAGCGCCTGCTGCTTTTGTTGCTCCATTAGCTGCTGATGCTTGGGGATCCTTCCACCTATCCCTGCTGTAAATCGGCTCCAGAAAGGGCAGTATCATCACTCAGTGGCCTTTCTGTGGTAGAATTTGGGCTTTCAGGGATGATGGAGCACAGCTTATACTTCCTTGATCAGCTCAGTGACAGGTACCACTTCCGCTTCCCTGGGGAGAATGGTAAGGAAATGGGGGGGGGGGGGGGGGGCAGAGATGTTCCTTTTCCAACTAAAATCGTTTTGGTGTAATAATAGTAAACAGCAGAACCAAACTGATGATGTTTCCTAGTTTGAATAATAAAGCATTTGCAAGAAAACAAAAAAGGTCAGAGAGCAACCAAGGATCCTCAGAACCAAACTATCCCGACAAAGAGATTTTTAAATATCATCCTCATTTACACATCATGTGATCATGGTTGATCATGGTGTATTGAATACCCTACTGGTTTGGGTTTTTTTCCTGAGCTGCAATTCTTGAGCTTAATATAAATTTCCAAGCCACCTTTGTTATGTTCACACAGGATGCAGAAACCATAACCACATAATTCATGCCATGGCCCACAGTGGTATGGAAAGCCAACTTCTGCTTGTGGGAAGAAGGGCAGGAGTTTTTGAACAGCCTGGTTGTGTCCTTAGAGCAGGGACCCATCTTGATGCAGAGAGAGACATGAAGGTGTGCATAGACAAATCCATGAAGCATCTGATCTCACAACGGGTTGGCTCACTCTGCTAGAATAAAGTGAGAGATCACATAAGGCAGAGGTCTCCAAACTTGGCAACTTTAAGATAGCTGGCTGGAGAATTCTGGGAGTTGAAGTCCACCAGTCTTAAAGTTGCCAAGTTTGGAGACCCCTGGTGTAAGGTCTTATCAATCAATAACAGCAAAACAGTACCATTCATCGCAGCAATGATGGTTCGCTTATGGTAGAAGTAACTGCTCCTAGTTTACAAGACCTTGTAGGTTACACTCCATACCACCGAGGAATAAGACTTGAATTTGTTGTCTCTCTCCGAGTTTCCCAAAGTTTCATCCAGATTACTTGATCTGATGAATCTTTGGAAAATTCCCACAGAATGCCATTGATGGGAGAGATGCCGGGATTCCCCACTTAACACCTGAGGTCCTGTTAACTTCAAAGCACCTTTGCAAACAGAATAAAACTGATTAAATCTGGTGGTCTCTTCCCATGCATGGTGGGGAGGGTATGCTTAGACTACGGGAGACAAAGAGGTTTTTTTATTCCGTGTATGGGGAATGAAGTTTCGGTGGGAAGGGGAGATTGAATAGGTCGACCTTCCGGCCAGGGTCCCAAAGTGGCATTAGCTGCGCCTGGGGAGTTCCGGTGCCAATGCAAGCCCCATCCTCATCGTGTGTGTGTGTGTGTGTGTGTGTGTGTGTGTGTGTGTGTGTGTGTTGCGCCGCCGCCGAGGAATAGACCATTTCTGGAGTGTCTCAGTCTAAAAGAGAGAGCGATCAGCCAGGGGAATGCAAAGTGAAGTGGGGAAACGGGGGGAAAAAAGGCTTCGGTCAAAGAAAGGCTTGTGACCCTCCCAGTGTAAACGCCAGGGCAAATGAAAGATGAGTGGCGGGCTTAAATATCCGCCGTCCCCGCTTTGCCCAGGTGCCCAGATCTGGACGTTGCCCCCCCCCCCCCGCCCAACCCCGGTTATTTTTTCCCTAGAGAAGTTTTTCACGACGCCGAAGGGAAACGGCTGGAAGTGTCGGTTCCCCGGGCAGTCACGACTGTATGCTGGGCCTGGGTTTTAAACCAGAGTCAGGAAACACGAGCACCACTTCCTTTAGCCACCGGAGGCAGGAAATGGGAAAGACGAAACTCGTCTGCCCGGGCGGGCACAGTAATGGAGATCACGTTTCTCCTCTGCCTTTTCCATCTCTCTCATCCTGCCCTTCATTTGATAAACAGACCTCTCTGTGCTGGGGTCAGGATCCCATTGAGAGGTGGAAGGAGTTATGCTGAGATCATGGCATTCCCATTCCGTAGTCCCAGCCAGGAATCAAATACTGTACCTGGATAGGACAACCTGGTACTTCGTACATCAGGGGTCTCCAACCTTGGCAACTTTAAGACTTGTGGACTTCAATTCCCAGAGTTCAATTTTGGGAGTTGAAATCCACAAATCTTAAAGTTGCCAAGGTTGGAGACCCCTCTTGTAGATGTTTTAGAGTCGACAATACTCTTTTCAGGTCTCTACAGTTGACTGTTGGCTGGTCTGAAGGACACCAAGTTGCCTAACCCTGGATCGGTATTTTGCGGTAAGATCTAATGACTTTGAGCCACACATCTTATATTGCTGAAGGGCTAAGGATCCTGAAAACGTTGTGTGAAACAATCCTCAAATATTTCTTGGTGCATACCAGGAATCATAGTGCAACTCTAGAGGAGCTATTCTTCCATTTCAACTGTTATCCATCTCATCTTTGCACCACCGACCAGTAGCATCATAACACTGGCAGTTTGCATTGCATAAGATGTGGTTCCCAACTACATTGTGTTGTTGTGGTTTGTGTATGCCACATACAATATTCAATTAACTGGCTTTCTGCTCTGGCTTTGTTACAACCCACTTCAGCATGTTATCAGCCAGCAAGAAATGGAGCACTAGTGGGGTGGGGATTTGGCTCTATTATGTAATTCTAAGTCTTTGCTTTTCTGGCAGACTGCCCCTCCTCCACTCCCACTTGAGTACCTGATAGTGTCAAAAGATAGTATCTCCAGGAGGAACGTCGCGTGATGGGTCAGACAGGACTTCACAACTAACACAAGAAGAAATGTCAAAATAATGTGAAGAATTTAGAGGAAGCCAGCTCTCAATAATAACATTAGGGCAGCAAAAAACAAAAACAAAACACCATGTCAGATTCTAATTCAGACAGTATACATGGAAAACACCCAGAAATAATCTCAGAAAGGCGGGATACACACCTTCCCAATAGTGCCAACAGAGGTCCTCTTACAGATGGTTACAGAAACCAAATATCATAAACACTTTTGCAGAGAGGGGAAATGTTTGAAACCAACTCACACAAGAAAACGGGCAAAATATCAATAAAAGTCCAATTATTCCTTATTCTTGCCACTGCAACAGTGCTATGCTGCTGTTGCGTCTAATGTTAGTTTCTCCATTGATTCTGGAATTGTATAAATAGAAAATTGTGTAAATACACCTTGTTTCCAAATACAAGATTAATGGTTTTCTCTTCCAACTCTCTTCTGGTTAGAAGCCTAGAGTTGATTCCCAAATGATTTTGTGGGGAGAGGGGGGGAAATTGCATGAAAGGAAGAAAAAACAGAAACAGAACTAATGGAGAAGCCAGTTGCTGGGCACTAATTTGGCTGCAAGAGAGATATGAGAATGTTTTCCCAACACACTTGAGCTTCTAGCAAAAATGCTTATCAAGGCATATCAAAAACCTCATAAATTTCAGTAAAATGGGAATGGGCAGAATAAAGCCACATAGGATGGAGTCTTCCCTGTATCACTTTCGTGTGTATTATGATATGAATCACATGAAACACCTTAGCTCACTTGGCAGGCTGATCATGCAAATGAGTAGGCAGCATAAGCTAGTGAGAGCATAGTGGGAGTCAAAGACTCAATAACATATGCATAATGCTTGTGTGCATTATCTCTTTAGCATGTACCAATCTAGTCCTCCTTGGATTATAAGTACAGTATTTTATAATTTGACAGGATGATAAATGTACTGTGAATATAAGGTATCCGTGGACCTAAGGAGATCTGAATGTAAAGAAGGCTGTTTACCCAAACCAAAGATACTTTATTTAGTTTGGCTTATAATCCTGAAAATTTTCTCTCTTCAGAAGTAAGGAAAAGCAGTGATGAGAGCTTATCTTTGGTTGTTCAAGTCCCTTGTTCACCTGTCTTCCTTAAGCATACAGTTTGTAATATAAATGTGAAGCCTCTTGATTTATAGATACATAAAGTAAATCAAGTTAGATTTAATTATATTTTAAGCAGTTTTCTAAAAGTTAGCACATTGCGAAAATAGTCTAGCCATTTTATTTCAGCACACAAAATATTAAACAAATCAGGAACTACAGAATATAATGTTGGGTATTTATGGCAAGTCATACAAATAACATGGTTATTATTTGTCAACCTAGTTTTGTTTCCTAATTGCATTTGTTACAAATAATCATAGAACGTTTTATTTCAAATTCATAAAATAAAATTCATAAAAGTTAAAACAGGTAAATACTTCAAATCAAACTTGCTTTAAACTCATTGTCTGCTTCACCATGGATAATTTCATTCTTGTTGGATTTAATAAAAACATCTTTAAAAATACCCTATATACTAGTAGTTTCCTGATTATATTCAATGACCATTTGGAATGTAAATGTATTCTAGTATGCATAAAGACTTAAATTTATTGTGCAACCTGCTGTATTTCTCAATATGAAATTAGGAACCACTCTCCCATTTATTGATCAGCAAGAAAAATTTTAAGTTATATTTAGCCAGCAGCATCTCTTGATTTTTCTGAACCATGAGAAAAGAAAGAAAAGGGGATGCCAGTAATTTGTAAATAAGTCAGAATAACTTTGGTAGCTGTCTGAGTTGTTTTACATCGAGAAAAGTGCCTACTAAATTAACATTTTCTGTTTGATTTAAATTATCAACAGAGGGAGTTTGTGGAGTTCCAGTCACAATGTGAACATTTAGGTTTTCTTTGTCTGGATGCTGTGTAAATTCTGCTTCTCCAGGCAAAAGTTTCAGTTTTGGCTTTAAATCCTTTAAAAAGGGGTCCGGAGTTTCATTATTTTGGTGCAGGATTCTGGGTGGCAAAACAGCATTTGTAACATTTCTTAAGATGGGTCCTTCTGAATGCAGCAGGTGACAAGACGATTCAGTTTTACAGTCTTCTGAATCAAAATTTATCTGCTTCTCACCAGTTCTTTCAGAAGAGCCTTTCCAAGAAGCAAAGCCCTCTAAAACAGGGTTGAAATCCAAGTGCAGAACAGGCTCTAAGCTCTCTTTGCTCTTGTAGTTCTCGGATGGTTGCTCCTCTTCATCATCACTACCATCGCTGCTTTGAAGAAGGCCATACTTCCTCATATATCTCTTGGTTGCAAAAGACATGTTGCCAGGAGAAATTAAACCAAGGCCCATCAAAGACTTCTCTGTATTAGTTTGCAGGAGAGTCTGTAAAGATGAAGTCACAGAATTTCTCTGGCTTGAATGATTTAAAGAAAGCTGTGACAGTTGATTTTCATTCAGGTACTTGAGAGCAATAGCATTCGCCTCCATGCTCAGGTCTGCTCCAGTGGGAGTTAAGCCACTCATACCAACATTAGCAAAAGAGATATAGTTTAGTCCTGGTACTATTGCTTCAGGATTAATACAAGCCAATACACTAGAAAAGAAAAAGACACATTAAAATAATTCTGACATTACCATTTATTCAATTTTTTAATAACCAGCTGATCATAAAATGTGAACATACTATGAATGTCATCTGTTTTAGTATCTATATAGTTTCCTAATTTGACAGCTTTAATAAGACATATAAATTGTTGCTCTCATATTGTCAGTGAAATTTATAAAGTGATTAATTTTAGTAAGATTGTCTCTATCAGGGGAATTTAATATAGATGGTCTGATTTGCATGTCTGGGAACAGCCTTTTATTTCTGTCCTTTATAATGCCTTCTTGTCCATAAAAAACCATGTTGATGTTATATATAAAAAAGTAAATAATATACTATATTCAATGCAAGTCATGATTGGAATAAGGATGGGTTTTGTCCAGATTATCTCACCACCAAAGTAGATAGGTAGTACTGACATCTAGCCTTGTAAGCTTTTTAAGCAATTTGGTGCAAAAGGAGAATTTATAATCTGCTGAACAGTCACCCTGATCTCTCAATAGCTACTGCAAAAGACAACTGTCGCATATATTTCAGATTATTAGGCAGACAAAGTTGCATGGATATTCAGTCATTTGTGGCTTTATTAAATATTAAAGTTTTATAAATTTTGATAAGTTTTTCATATAGATAGGCCAGATTTGCACAGACAAGACTGTAGGAAAGAAATCAGAAATGTAGTTTTCATTCTCATTAATAATAGTTCAATATTGCATCCAAATCCTGAATTGGAAATAATTTTAATGTTGGGTAATAAAAACCAGATTTCAATCCATGAAGGTTGAAGACAGTAACAATGTTTCAAATTTTCTACTAATAATCAAGGCTATCCAGACTTTGTTCTCGGTGGGATATTACAATCATTTTATCAAGAAAAAAAAATGTAATAATAATTCTGAAAAAAAATCTTATCAAACTAAATCACTAGATCAGCGTCACCAATCGGTAGGCCGCGGCCCACTGGTGTGAGAAAATTTTGGTGGGTCGCAGAGAAATCTCACCCCCAGAGCACCCCCCCAAGCAATTAATCCAGGCTGCAGAGAAACACAAGGCTGCTCAGCCCACATGGCCCGCGAGAACCCTCCCCGCCCACTCACTCCTTACCCGGCAAGCTTGTCTGCTAAGTTGCTATTTTTCCTTTTTCCGACCATCATCTGTTCTGCTGTGCCAGGAAATTTATATCAGCTAGGAAGCAGGAAATGGTTGGATTTCTTGCTTTCTAGCTAAGCACAACCAAACCTCTCTTAGGACTGAAGGTTTGCTTGCAAGCAAATTCAGTGCAGACTCACGGCAAGTAAATTTGAGAGACTGAGCTAGCCGATGACAGATAGATAGATCACTCAATGATTCTGTGAGCAACTCAGTCTGCCTGCTTTGCCTGATTTTGGATAAAAATTGCTTTTTTATATATATAAAAATCAATACTTACATACATGGTGTGTTGTGAGTTAATTTTATGAGTTTGCTTGTAAGCAAATTTTATGTGACAGACTGAGCTAGCCAATGGAAGATAGATAGATCTCTGAATGAATCTGTAATTCTGTGAGCAACTCAATCTGCCTGCCTGCTTTGCCTGATTTTGGGTAAAAGTTGCTCTTTTTTATAAAAAATTCAATATTTATAATATTTACATACAAGCCATGCCCAGCCAGTCACATAACCACCAAGCCACACCAACAAACTAAGCCATGCCCACAGAACCAGTTAGTGGTTCCTGGGATCTAAAATTATGAGTTTGGTGGTCCCTGAGGTCCAAAAGGTTGGCGACCCCTGTGCTAGATGACCCGAGACTTCCCCTTTCTAGATGACAAAACACTATGACATCTTTCCCAAAGCTTTAGTCCTTTCTGTTCTTTTACCTTTATCACAAGTCAGAGTGTCTCAATGTACATATTGAAATATAAATATGTACTCATTTTTTCCAGTGTTCTGGAGCAAGGGGCGCCAACCTTTTAAACCTCAGGGACCACCACTCATAATTTTAAATCCTGCATACCAGAGACCCTGGGAAAATCCCCAAAAAAGTCTTCAGGAAAATTTCCTACCCCGTTTTCCTACTGACCGATCACTCTTTATTTTGGATCACAGGATCCAACCAAAGCTCCATTCTCAGGGAGAGAGAGAGACTTTTGGCTTCATGCAAGGGAAGCAGCAGAAGTCTTTCTTTCTTTCCCCCAAATTCCTCCAGAAATGAGTCTTTGCCAGCGCAGCTTCTTGGAGCAGGATTACAGGGTCCCAAAGACTCATTTCTGGCAGAGTTTGGGGGAGAGAAAGGAAGACTTTTGCTGCTTTCCTTGCGTGCAAAAGCAGAAGAAGCGGAAAGAAGCAGCCCAGTGGCCAGGCCAGGCATGTGGGGCGAATGGGGCAAGTTCCCCCCTCCGCCCTTTCCTCCCTCCCCTCACTACGTGTTGTTTGCAATGCGACACAAGCCTTGTGTTCCCACGCAGCCTGGATTAATTGCTTTGGGGGTAACATTTCTCTGCGAACCACCAAAATTTTCAGTGGTCCCCGGCCCACTGGTTGGCGACCACTGTTCTGGAGAACCTGACAAGATTTTGTTCCCATGTAACATAAATCGACTACTCTTTCCTCGCTAGAGAAACTCAAAACACTGCTTAATGCTACAGAATCTGATTTAAATTGCAAGGAAGCCCATGCCAATATAGCTGGAGCATAATAATGCATGGAAGCAGGAGTATCTGTAGGATGTGGTCAAGACATCAATAACTGATTTGTTGTTTGTATGCAGCTCAGAATTATACTGAGGTACTATATAAAACCTAGCAATAAATAAAAAACAGTAAATTGCCATTACCCAGCATTCTCCACTTTGTGTACATTGTTCATCTTCTCAGGAGAATCAAAATTTACTCCAAGGTTTCTTAATTGCTTCAAGGTTGCATTCAGAACACTATCTTTATCTCTTAGGACCCTGTCTGATGCTGAGCTTCCTTTTTGTGCCTTGTTTATTTTTAAGGATGTAGTGCATTCATCTTTAATCAGATCCTCTTTCAGAGAGGGACCACTTTCATCAGGTTCCTTCAAAAATCGATTTACCTGACCCTATAGAAATATTACAAAGAAGAACACAAAATTAGATGAATAAAACTTCAGGATCACATCTCCATAGGAATTCATAGTATATTGACAATGTATTCATATCACCATAGGCAAACCTGTAAGCAATTTATTTCTAGCTTTCAAATCATAGATGCACAACTTATATCACTAGCTTATAGTTAAACAGATTTTAGCATGAGTCTTTAGAATGTATGCATTTAGAAATAATCTGTCCAAGTTTACATTTGAAATATCGTAATTCTGTTTAATTTTAAGTAATTATGCAATTTAACCTACTATTTTGTCCCATTTTTAAAAAGAAATAATCATGTAAGTAGTAGAAGGCAGTTCTGAAATATTAACAATAAACTGGATGTATCCTATTGAGTACTTTAAGGAAGTTCAAGATACATGGATAATAAAGATTTTACTATGAAGAACTTTAAAAAAATAGAAACAAATTTATAGGGCCAACACTGTTAAACACTAGAATTAAATAGTTATATTGAGCAGACAAAACTTACTAATAAATCCTGATACATTTTTTGATCATCAGGTGATACATTTGGTGGGGTAGTAATGGTACACTCAAAATTTTGTTTATCAGTTGGTTCAAAATTATTCTCAGTTCCTTCTGACAGACTGGTTTGCAAACATTTGTTACCATTTTCATTCCGCAGTGAAGTTTGGTCAATTCCTATGGCAAGTGGTCCATTACTATTAGTAAAAACAGATATGATTTGAATTAAATTATCAATAGATTTATCACTGTAGCAGAATTTATATCTTAAACTAGATCTCATATTCCCAAGGCTTTCAGATTATCATTAAACTCTCACATTTCGGAATATTTATTAAGTTTTTAGCAATAGCACTTATATACAGCTTCATAGTGCTTTACAGCCCTCTCTAAGTGGTTTACAGAGTCAGCATATTGCTCCCAACAATCTGGGTCATCATTTTACCAACCTCAGAAGGATGGAAGGCTGAGTCAACCTTGAGCCTGGTGAGATTTGAATTGCCAAATTGCAGGCAGCCAGCAGTCAGCAGCTGCAGTACTGCATTTTAACCACTGTGCCACTGCAATTCTTAAATCAGAAATAACTTAAGTGTTCGTCTTCATTTACTGCAAGCAATATGTTCATAATCATGACCAGAAGGTAACAGTAGTATCTCCATTAGTATATTACTTGTATATGAAAACATTTTCCAGTTATTAAAATAAATATGGATTTAATATTTTTTGTTGAATGCTTTATGAGCTGCATGTGTCAATTGTTTAAATCCAACTTTTCTTCCGGGGTGTATCTAGCATTCATTTTGATTATCTGTGCATGAAAAATACGTTTTTAATTACTCTGATCATACAGATAATTCTATTTTGTGTATTATTCCTGACCAGAACAAGAAACATGGATAGCCAGCTCCTTGCAAAGCAAATCCCTTCTCAATGCCTGTATATTGAAGAAAGTCTACAGACTGCAACTATTGGTGTTTCCCTGACTATAAGTTGAGGCTTCCAAGAAAAGAGACCGGAAACCAGAGCACTCACAATCACACAAAGGATTAATTTGAGTAAAACCTCTTATTATGAACATCTTATGGTATCAAAAATGTGGCTGGCATGGATGAGATGAACTGCTTAAATTGTGCTCCCTTACATTTTTCACGTTTAATGCTATCCCAATTTTTGAGGTCAATTGAGATTGACAACATTGGAGCAGATATTCACAAATGGAATACAGCTTTTAAAATCAAGTTGACAAAATGTCCAAGTTGGAGCTAGAATCAAAATATCGATTCTATATTGCTATAGAAGTTGCTATATAATTCATTTAAAGTAACTACTATGAAGAAAATAGCTACCTGGACTCAAATCTAAATAGTATTTTTGAATTAAGCTGCTTTTGAATCCTATTCTTAGTATTAAAATGTTAGATTTTCAATAGGAGGAAAATATAGAAAATATATAGACAACTTATTTTGAGGTATAAATGCATAAGATGTCATAGTGCAGAACAGTTCAATTTGGCCAATTCAGGCTGCTATCTATAAGCAATAAACCCTAGAATACAAGATACAGCAATATAGCATATTAGCACAAGTATAGAGCTGAACCAAGCCGACCTGGTATTTATACTACAAGTCAATTACAATACTAGCTTCAGTTCTTGGGGGGGTGGGGGTGGGGGTGGAATCATAGGTGACTTAAACATAACAAAAGATTTATGTAAACTTTAAAAGAAGTCAAAGAATAATTCAACTTTAAAAAAAATTACCACAGGCCTGCAGAATACTGATTAGTTCCTCCTTCAACAATATGGACACTATCAACAAAGCTGGGTATATCAACAGCTTTTAATGAAGAGGCAATGCTTGTTTGACTACTGTCCTTTTCTGCACTCAAAGAAATAGTGATGTCTTCGTTGGAAATTTCAACTTCATCTTCTTTCACAGACTCTTTCTTCTTTTCCAAAGGGGTATTCCAAAACAAGCTGGCACCTGTAGGAAATCAAATAAAAATACTGTGCAATTTAAACTAGGCTGCTGCACTATACACCGTATGTGATGTACATCTTGAAACAACTTTGCACCATTTACAGTGCACTTACTGCATTTCTGATATAACTGGTCTGATTACTGTACTGGCTAATTCTTACTACACATGCAACATTTGTTAAACAACAAAAAATGCTAATCTATCACCAGTTTGTCTTTGTATGTGGTGCTAAATCCTAAAACTGGCATACATAATTCTAACCAGGACTGAGGTTCTATGATCCCATTAGAAAATATATCTTTAGTAACAGAGGCCTAATGTGTCAAGATATAGCTGGTGGGATTTTTTAAAAAACATGTTGACATTTGCTTTATGTTAGTTATAAGCAAACTAAATTAAAAGAATATTTTACAAAATTGTAAATCTGAAACATATTGTTATATTATAGCAAGGGACACTAAGTAGGTTTCTGCAGAGATTAAAGGATAGATTCATCAAACTATGAACAACCAGAACAAAATGGCTCCAATGCTTAGCATTTCCCCCCAAGTTTAGTGTCATTTAAAGAAAATGTACAATAAAACATTACCTGTACTCACTGCAATGCTGATACTTTTCTTCATGTGTAATCCTGGAGAAGACTGGGTTTCCATAGCAACAAATTCTACTTGCTTCTCAGACTGTATGCTATTGTTTTCTATGGATCTGGAAGCACAGGAATGAAGAGTTTGTGCCTCTAAAAGCTGCTGGATCTGCAAACAAAATCTGTGTTAATTGAACAGTCTGGGTAAAAGGAGAACCAATTAGTATGAATTACTTGATAACAATTTATCCTACATATATTGAAAACTGTTTTCCTTTCTATGAACTACATAAGGCAGTGTTTTAAAACCACTTTCATATATAAGATAAAGTAGGGCAGCATACCACAGCACACAGAAATAGGTAGTTGAAATTAAAGAAAATCATTAATTTAGCTAGCTTCTGTTCAATATTGACTTTCCAGCATAAGAAATGGTAACACTAAAAACACAGTACTATCCAGTTACATTAAAACTTCTACTTGCCTCAGAGATTGAAACAGAAACTCCCAAATTCAAACTCCCGAGTTTGAAAGTCACACCAATGATGTGAAAGAGTACTCATACTTCAGTAAGCCAAATAGATAACTGAAATAACCCAACCAACCTGAGCCTGTAGTAGCTTGATTTGCCTATGCTGTTCACCAAGAATTCTGTAAACATCTGAAGATAATTCCATTTCATTATCTGATACGGCATTTGCAGCAGGAAGATGCATACAAGCTGAATGTGTTGTATGTGACTGTGCACTACCAGGATTTACTGGAGATGACATTCTTACTGCAGCGGATGTGTTATTATTAACAGAACAATTCCCTATTATTCCATGATGGCCTACATTAATAGGGCTACTTGTGGCATACACTGGATTGCAGCCGCCATTTACATATTCTTGATTCTGATGGAACATTAATTTTGTACTCTCCTGGGTAGGACCTGAATGATTTTCAGGGCTGTCATTACACAAACCTTGCCAAACATTTGCTGGATTATATTGTATATGGCCATATTGCTGACAGTTGCAAATACAAGGAGAACAGCATGATGGACCTTGAATTGGTACCCGAACTCCCAGAGGTCTTCGCAAATAAGATGGTGATAGTGTACAAGCATGCCAGGGATACTGGGAAACCACAGGAGTTAGATTTTGTTTGTTAGATTTTTGTGCTGAAAAGCCATTAGTAGAAAGTTCTCCTTTCTGTGGAACATCATCACTATTTGCCAAGGGTCTTTCAGAAGGAATTGCACCTTGAAGCAGAGATGTATTTTGTGGAAATTCGTTACAGGATATTGAAGGAGAAGAAGTAGGTACACAGCCCTTTTTTGCTTGAGAGCCAGCTGGACTGGACTGCAGTTGTAGTGGAGACTGCAGTCCTTTGTTAGGTTTTAAAGATGCAAGCCTGTGTTTCAGATGACTTGGTATTTGCTTTGGAGGAGGCTCTCTGGCAGCCAAAGCAAAGATCTGTCTTCCAGCGTCAGAGCTCTGAGTCTGCTGGGGAGCATGCGCTACAGAGTATGCCATCTTAGCAGGTTGGTGTACTAATGAAGATTGATTTTTAATCACAGCATGTTTGGATGTTGGTACAGATTCTGTGGAGATGCCTTCAAGTACAATGGACAGCTCAGGAACTGAAGGATGGATCTCAGTCATCTGGAAACCAAGACAGTTCAAAAATAAAAATATTTATGAATTCTTAGTTTACCAAATTAATCTGAAGTATTTTTCTCTTATCATCTACACCCTGTATAGAACTTAGTGCAAAGGGAAAGAATAAGATTAGGTGTACACTGTAACAAAAAAAAGTATGTCCAGTGGTGGGCTGCAACTGGTTTAACAACCGGTTCTGTGACTGCGTTCAAAGTGTGTGCAGCATTCAAAAAACGACAATTTGAACCGTTACAGCCTTCTGTCTAGGGCAGCCCCAGTAAGTAGGACAGCTGAGGCGCAGTAAACCACTGCGCCACGTGAATCAGCTGAGCTGAAAAAGACGGAAATATCGGACAGGATAGGGTGGGGTCAGCTAATTGTCGCAAATACCAATTTGCTAGAACCAGTCCGAACCGGCAGCATCCCACCACTGAATATATCTCTACCAGGAGGCACGAAGCCAAAAGCACGAAGCCAAAAGCGCCAGCCTGAGGATGGCAAGTGGGACCTTGCCGAAACGTCACCAAGATACTCTTAATCTTACATGGCAACTGCTTAATGTGAGGAGCACATGAAGAAAAAGACTGTAAAAATGCTTTACCCAACGTAACACTATAAAACCTAATGTTTGCAGCTACTGATTTTCTATTACTGATTTACTTTCAGTTTAGGAATAGGAAAAAAACAAAACCAATCCAATTCAGTTGGCATTCATTTAAGTTCTTAATAAGCATATCAGTATATCCACACTTTGGCTAGCTCTTGTGTCAATATGTTGTGAGAACACCTCCCTATTTTATTGAGTCAAGTAATTTTGCCATGGTTCAGCTAGTTTTGCATATTCCCACAGCATAATTATGCAGAGTCCTAAGAAAGTGTCTCGTTCAAACTTAATTTGAAGATAAAGCAGCAATAAAGGGTTAAGAGTCCTGTAGTACAACCTAGTGGCAGGATTATGATATAACACCTATCTGAAAGAACTCTGAAGCAGAATACCAGTAATACCAGTTACTCAAAATAAATTCTGCAAAGCTAATTTATTGTGACCGGTTTCAGACAGGAAATTGAGAATATACCAGTTGGTTGATGGGATGAGGACGGGGAAAAGGTCTTGGAGATACATCGTCTTCCACACCAGAGTCATGATCACTGACAGAAAGTTTATTGGGTGAACAATCTACGGATAAACTATAAAAAAATAAAATTTTATAAAACTAGTAAAAAATAACTTTATCTTTTTTTTTTTTTACTCCTGTAACATTTTACAAATAATAGATTTTTAAATATTCTTATTCTTATATGCAATATACCATTTTATAATATAGCAGCTTTAAACAGTATCTGCAACTCATTGACATGTCATGGCAATTTACACATTTTATGATCATTATTAAACAAGAGAAAGCTGAACAACTATTTATAAACAAGTCAGGTAATACATATACATTTTATTGTCTCTTAATTTTTTAATTTTATTTTATCAACAAATATTACATTTGTTTCTTGGTTAGAGGAATAGTGTTTCTCCTAATACAGTTTTTCAATAAAGAAAATTTATACTGTGAGATTAGAAAGTAAAATCTACAAAAACGTAAATACACACATATTGCCTGATATCTCTTGGGTATACTTTTGGATAATAAATAACAATTTATTGTGTTAATGAAACGAACAATCTAAAAAATCCTATTGTCTTTTCTTCTACTTTTCTGGAAGATACATTTCACATGGCAGCAGACAGGAATACCTATCTGATAGCTATTAATTATTCCTAATGAAAATCTTTATTAATGCAAGATATTGTAAAAACTTTGGAAATGATTGTACTGAAGCAAACAAACAGTACAGATTATTTGCATGGAGAATATAAAAAATGACTCACCTGTTTATGGGAATGTTTTTTGAAATTTTTCTGAAGAATTCTGTTTCTGCATTTATATTTTCTGAGTTCAGTTCAAACTGGATAGGGTATTTATCTGAAGGTTCTACTTCCTGAAATGAAATAGATATAGGTACTAAGCCAGACAATCTAATCACAACAAAAGTGCACCTCTCTACATCAAACAATAGTGCTGCTGACTATTTATTGCCCAAAAGTTTTTATGTACCTACAGTATATGTAGGGGATTCATGACTACTATAGATAATCTCAGAAGCAAAAATTTAAAGAACATTATTGCTGCAATTTTCTAACAATCATATTAGGTGCAGTATAGAGGTACTGAAGTATTTCTATTTCCAGCAGTTATAATTACTGTGCTAATCCAAAAAATGACGCAAAATAAATAATCCTATCCTAACTATTTCCAAATTGAGAAGAATTGTTTATCCCTTTCAACAACAGCAGGGATCCCACAAACCTATTTTTCAGTTTGGCTCTGTAAAAGTAACAATTAAACCTTTTAGAATATGTAAATTATTCAAAATGCATTTTTTCTAAGATATGGTTGGCCCAACATCTTTTATGATTAGTGTTGAAATCAAAAAGCCAAACTATTCTTTTCAGATCCATAATTTTTCTTTTTTTTTTCTCCACACAAAAATCAGGTAGTTGTCAAGATTCTCCATCTATATTCTTCTCTTTTTAAACCTACAAGATAGATTAGGATAAAAAGAATGACTAGCTCAAGAATAAATATCCCAGGTTAAGTAATAATTTAAATCTAGATCTGGATCTTCAGTCTTAATCCTAAATTAGTTCTTTCATGGTGAAACTTCAATAGCAGCTGTTACTTTTGGAAGCTCCATTTAAAATTCTAAAGAGATTGGAGTGTTAAGGACATTTGAAGCCATAAACAAAATCATTTCACAATTTGAATATGAAAATAAATATATATATACACACACACACACACACACACACACACACACACACACACACATTCTAATTCTTGAATATTTTGATATAATATTTTGATCTTATAAACAAAGTAGAGGCATGCTATTTCAATATCCAAAATAACAGAAAGTCAAAGCAACTTACTTTGAACAGATGTAATGTTTCTTTGCATGTAAGTAGCTGGAAGTCTAGTTCAGTACGCCCATCATAAGGCAAGCATTCATAAAACTTTGGATCTTTATGATTCAGAGCAAAAAGAACTACAAGAAACCTTCCTGTTTCAGAAAACACCCTAAAGAGAAGAAAAATATTATGTATACAAAGCAATGCAAAAATCACAAATTTAGACTTTCCATGCAACAACATAAATTGTTCGCTGCTGTGTCATTAGTTTGAGATGGTTATACAAACTGAACCAACCAACCAACCAATTACAAATGTTGAGAGGAATTTAGCATGTTTTAAAAAACATATAATACAATATATAGCTAATTATGCTAGAATCTCAATCACTGTATAGCATGTCATCATTTACCATAAAATAATTAAACAGTAAAATTACATTATCTTCTTGGACTACTGTGCAAAACTTGTTATTACTGCTATAGTTTGTAAAGCAATAAATGCATGTAAGTAGAATGCAGGATGATACCATCTCTTCCCAAATAAATTTTCTCTGTATTTGCAATGGGGCAAGCAAAGTCTTGCTCTGGGTTTATATAAAATACTCAACTCTTTGACACAGTCTCCAACCATTTAAAAAGTTTAGTTCAGATCATGTTTTAGAAGACCTCTCCAATAAGATTATGTACTGGGCACAGGTATCTAGCTGGGCTTGTAAAAAGTTCTATCCCACTTTCTAAAACAGCACAATACAAAAACAGTACAGTACATTTCTATGGTCTAGAAATCTGTTTTACCTATTCTTGTATAATATTTATACAGTATATATTACAACTATATATTGTTCTTTCTGAGGTACATTTTTAATTGCCCAAAATATTTAATAGTATTTTATGCTATCTACCAATTCTGATTTTGTTTACTATTTATTTTAATTATCTACGTTAATGACCTTTTCAAATATACACTTTGGGTATTTTAGCAATAAAATATAAAATAATATAAAAACCCAATAAAATCCCTATCACTGTAACACTAAAAACAAATTCCTATTACTGTAATAATAAGGAAAAAAATCCCTATTACTATTAGTTGAGATTAATTTTAATTATAATTACCTCTCTTGGATTGATAAACTGTATAAGTATCGCAGACAAAAGGCCCAAACTTGTGGATTATGAATGTGAACTAGTCCACTCAACCAGCTAGAGGAATAGAGGAGGAAAGATATTTTTGAACAATCATATTACAACCCCTGGCATATCATATAGAAATAAAATCTGTACTGAATATCTGAGGTAATCTGCAAATGTACTGCAAATATTTGTTATAATACAAATTCAAATGAAGAAACTTTTTATGGAAAAAAAGTCATCACCCAAATACTTACACGCCAATCAGAGGCAATGTGCATGCTTTGGGATCTGATTCCAGAATTAAAAGAAGTTTCCTTGTTTGATCCATTGAAAGATAACTGCAAGTAAAACAAATGACTTTTTTTTTACAAAGAAAACTGATTTTAAAGAAATGGAAGAGATTTCCAAACTAGTAAAAAGGTTTTGCCAGAGAAATAGCAAATAAAGGAGATAAACACATGAATGAATTCTTCACATTTTAAATATAAGAGAAAAGTACAAGCTTCACACAATAGATACAATGTTAAGAGAACAATTTTGTGTAGAATTCTTTTCAGCACTCTTATGAAACAAAAATGGTCAGTGCATATATTTTACCCAAAAGGAATAGAACAATGTATTAATTAATTATTACTGGAAATTACTCTTATAAGATGGAGAAGCCAGGCTACTGACAGTTTTACATATTAATTAACGCATTTAATTTTACCACCACCCTATGAAAACAATTCCAGCAACTTTCAAATGGTTAAAAAGAAGACCAAAACCCCTACCCAGCCAAAAAAAAAACCCCACCACTCATATTTTCTGTTTGAAGAACCAAACATTTAAATTATCTGTATAGCTGTCATAGTGATGTAATCCTAGAATTGCCTCATTCTAGGCCTGAGAAAGCGAATAGCCCAAAATCAACCAGCTGGCCTTACCGGTATATGTAAGGCAGAACTGGAATTCACAGTCTCCTAGTTTATAGTTTGATATCTTAATCACTACATCAAACTGGTTCTACTTTTTAAACTTATCACATGTTAAATCAATAAGGACAGCAACCTTTCTGTGTTAGGAGAGTAGAGAGATGGCCTTGAAGAAGACACATGGCAAGTATTGGGAAAATATAAACTCAGCCTGGGATATAAGAAAGGACAAGGAAGAAATTCAAGATTGTCCCACCATGACCCTCTTTGGTTTAAGGTGGAAGGAAGGGAATGCTGTCAAGCATTCCAATTTATTATATATTATATCAATAGGGTATTTCTTGTGTCTGTTTTATGAAGTGGTCTTTCATAAAGGGCTGACAAGGAAAACAGGAATCAGCAATTAACGTTGGTATGCTGGATCAAGGATTGGAGGAAAGCACTGTGACATTACCCCATTTCCATTCTTAGCTGTCGTCCATCCACTTTACTGTTCTGTTATTAAGTACCTGTATAAGAGACTGTGTTCCCTCATAGCTGAGTTAAATATTTTTGACAAATTATTACAGCATTTTTCAGCTTAATATGTATTTTCAGTTTACAATTCTTGGAGGTTAGTGTAAACTTCCAGAAGCTGCCTTAAAAGAATGAAGCCTTGCAATATTATTTTGAAGCATAGGAGAAGGGAGGAGCTTGCGCCGTGACGATACGGTTTGCAATCGAGCTCCTCGATTGCAGCCGATATCTTCGTTACCGGCCGGTCCAAACGGACCTATGCTGTCCCGTAGGGACAGCTATTGTGAAGAGCATAATCTGTGGACTCCGGGGATATCGCAAAATCCGTGGATGACCCGGGAGAAGCTCTTTTTGCTGGCAGCGGAGAGGCAGCCCCCATGCTGCTGAAGTCGGGGCGGCTCCAGAAAGAACGAGTCTGAAAGAGAGTCTGTCGGTTGGGTGAGAAACTTTTTTTTTATTTAATTTTTTGAGTTTTGAAAGTTCACTCTGATTATTAGAAGAAATCTGTGTGATTTTTTTTTTGACAAAATTGACTAAGCGGCGTTTTTTCCAAGGGAGACGTCAAAGAGAGGCTTTATTTGCTTTTTTTTTTCTTTGCTTCCGGACTTCGTTGTTATTTACGGGATAACTGGACTGTTCCTTTTTATATTTATATATTTTATTCTCCCTTTGGATTTTTCATATTATTTTTTCTTTAAGGCTAGAGGCTCCCTTTGTTTATTTTTTATTTTTTGCTTTTATATGTTTGTGTATTCCTTGCGGGCTTTTTTTAAAATTTTAATTATGCTGTTCTGAGAGGAGGGGGGAAAGTGAGAACTAAGAAACTTTGTAACACTGCCAACCAGAGGCTTGGAAATATTTTACTTGAACTGGAAAGAGGTGAAAGACTCCTTCTCAAGGACATCTTCTGATAAGATAGAGGAAAGAGCCTTGTAGAATATTACAGGTGTCTTTCTGGATTCTTGTCTATAATTAAACATTTATGGTTTAGCTTTGAAGCTTGTGGGAAAGAGAAGGGAGTCATAATTAGAGCCTTGGATAATTAAACAGAGTGCAGTGTATTGTTGCTTACTTTCTTTTTCTAATCCCTTTTTTTAGTTCCGCCACCCCCTCCACCAGCATCAATTTATATTTCTATTCTAGTAAGGTTTTTATTTTTAAGTTTGATTTATTTGCAAGGGGAAGCCTTTGAACTTTTCATTTTTATTTTATTTTGATTTATTTTTATTTTTTTTCCCTTTCCATTGGGATTTTTGCTTTTCTTTTTAATGTATATCAATGGACTATTTTTTTTTTCAATTGAGACTTTTTTGGTTGGATTAAGGTGTGGAATTTGAAGAAACTTATTCTCTTTGTTTTTTTTTTCTCTTTCTTCTTTTTGGCTTTAGTCTTGTTTATTATTATTACTGGGTTTTTATTTTTATTTTTATTTTCTCTTGTGGATTACTTTTTAATTGGATTAAGGTCAGGAAGAACTTGAAGAATTTTTTTTTTTTTTGCCCTTTCTTTTTCTTTTTCTCTTTTTTCTTCTTTTTCCCTTATTATTGGGTTTTTTTTATTATTGGCTTTTTCATTTTGGATTATAATTGGCTACTCTTTTTGGATTAAAATTTGAAAGAACTTGAAGAGCTGGAACTATTTAAAATGAGTAAGAAACTTATATCTTCGGGTGCCTCTGTGTCTACCTCTGCCTCCCCACCATCTGGACAGCGTTCAATTCAGACAATGTTAAAGCAAGATAAAGAAAAAGAACAAGAAAGAGTAACCTTACAGATGATTATACAAGGAATTCAAGATCTTAAGATAAAAACAGATACCATTGAACAAAGAACAGGGAGGACGGAGGAAAAAGTGGAAAGTATTCAACAGATGATGGCAAAGTATGAGGAGAGACTTCAAAAAGTCGAAGAAGGGGGCAAACGAAGAGAGGAGAAGATTGGAAATATTGATAATACACTAACAGTGATTGAACAAGAAAAAAGTGGGATGCTGAAGTGGGAGTTGGATAGGTCAGAATTCTATCTTAGATTTCAAAATATAGAAGAAGAAAAAGGACAAGATTTGGCTGCGATAATGATTGGAATCTTGGCGGATGCCTTGGAAATAACAGAAGAGAAGATGATGGATGGAATAGATGAGATATATCGAGTTTTTACAAGATATGCGATGAGAAATAATCTGCCCAGAGAAGTCCATATTAGATTTACTAAAAAATCCATGAAGACACAAATTTTGCAAGTGGCAAGAGAGAAGACATTGAAATATAAAGGTAAAGAAATTTTGGTCTTAAAACAAATACCTAGAAGAGTGAGAGAGACGAGAAGAGAATATCGATTCCTGACCAAAATGTTATTGAAAAAGGAGGTGACTTACAGATGGCTGATCCCAGAAGGACTGATGTTCACGTGGCAGGAACAGAGACATAGAATTGATTCAATTGAGAAAGCAGAACTGTTCCACGCAGAATTTTTTGGAGGGAGAGAAGGAGAGGCAGAAAAGGAGGTTTCATTAATTGAACCTCAAGAGGAACAAATGGAGATTGGAAAAGAAGAAGGTGCAGTAGGTGGACAGGTGGATATTAAAGATCAGCGTGAATCAAGACCCACGAGAGTGGTTAAATCTAAATATAAAATATAACCATGGAAGAGAAAAAACTGATTACAATGAATATAAATGGACTGAATTCAGCTGCTAAGAGAAGGAAGATTTTCCATAAATTAAGGAAACTACAGTTTGATATAATTTGTCTACAAGAAGTACATATTAAAAAGCAACATGAACAATTGTTAGTACAACCAAAATTAGGGAAATTGTTTACTTCTTTGACTCAATGTAAGAAAAGAGGGGTGGTTTTATATATCAAAGAGGCTATCCCAGCAAAACTGATTTATACAGATGAAGATGGGAGAATATTAATGGTGGAAATAATGGACAATAATAGAAAGATACTTTTGATTGCAATTTATGCCCCGAATGATAAACAGGAAGAATTTTATAAAAAATTACATACAAAGATGGCTGGACTGGACTATGTTAATATAATTATGATGGGAGACTTCAACGGAATCGTGGACAATAAACTTGATCATATTGCAACAATAGCAAAGTATAATAGAAAAACTCTTCCTAACTCTAAAAGACATATGGAGAGAAAGAAATGTTAAACTTAAGCAATATACGTTCTATTCAAATAGACATTTATCATGGTCCAGACTTGACATGATTTGGATCTCAACAGACTTAATATCTAGCGTTCAAGAAGTAAATATTGAAACAAGTACTTGGGCTGATCATAACCCATTGACAATCAAATGGAAGGGACAAAAAAAAAGATCGAGATGGACATTAAATAATACTATTTTAAAGGAGAAAGAATTTATACAATGGATGGAGAAAGAATTGGCTTTTTTTTTAAAGAAAAATAGAAAAGAAGACAGAACGTTTGGGATACAATGAAGGCTTATGTCAGAGGCTTGATAATAGATTATACAAGAAAAAAGAATATTAGGAAAAGGCAAGCTTTTAAAGCCTTGGAGGATGAATATAAAAGACTCGAAAAAGAACTGCAGAAAATGCCACAGAAAAAAGACGTTAAACTGAAACTGGATATAACTAAACATAAAATGGACTTAATAGAGAAAGAAGAACTGGCACAGAAAATTAGGAATGCCAAACAGAATTATTTTGAAGATGCAAATAAGCCAGGTAGATGGCTAGCATATAAGTTGAGAAAGGAGAAAGAGTCGAGGAAAATATTGCAGTTAATAGATGACCAAGGTAAAACTTGTCACGGCAGCAAAAAGAAAAAAGAAATTATTCATGATTTTTACAAACATTTATATAAGAAAGAAGATATTGATGAGGAGAAAGTTAAACAGTACCTGCAGAATGCAAATTTACCTAAGATACCTAAAGAGATTGAAGAAATGCTAGAAAGCAATATAACAATGATGGAGTTAAGCCAAGCACTTAAGAAACAAAATAATGGAAAGGCACCAGGTCCAGGCGGGTTTCCTGTAGAATTTTATAAAACCTTTCAAGAATCACTGTGTATTCCATTGTTAGAAGTTATGACTGAGTTAAATATTTTTGACAAATTATTACAGCATTTTTCAGCTTAATATGTATTTTCAGTTTACAATTCTTGGAGGTTAGTGTAAACTTCCAGAAGCTGCCTTAAAAGAATGAAGCCTTGCAATATTATTTTGAAGCATTTCATGCGTGTGCCTGTACAACATTCTAGCACTGGTCCAAGGTCATCCAGGTGCCTTTGTCTTTAAGGCAGAACGAGAGCACATAGCCTGCTGTTTCTAGCCCAGGGCTTTAACTACTATTTCAAACTGGCTCTTTTTATTTCATTTAAGAACTGGAACCCTTAGAAAGCATTCAATGAAAAACTGCTCTTGAATGAATCACAAATAATAGACATTGCCAAACTCAAATTAACTTACCCATATTTATAAGTTCCTTGGATGTGTGTAATACTCATACTGCTACTTAGGTTTCTAGCAAGGGCTGTAGGAATTATTGGGATAGGTTTCACAGGAGTGCATTTTAAAACATTGGCCATCGTAACTGCTGCCCAGTGAAAATCAAAATTTAAGTTGTCCATATTCTCCACTGAAGAGATGTGAACTCTTAAGGTCAGCACTTTGGAAAGTTCCAAAGAATCTTGGCTGTTCAGATTCTGATGCAGTATCTATAGTAAGAAAGTATCAAAATGCATCTCAGATAGAAGTATCATTAGGAATTGTTTAAAACAGGGAAAGACATCACCAATAGCACAATTTCTTAGGCATGCTTCCATATGTTTTCAACACAGTTGAAAAGAATAAGCAAAACAATACGGATGATATTCCAATTGTTCTTATCTCTGCTTCTGCCACCAAGGAGTGTCAGAAAATATGAATGATACGGGATATTGAGAGTCTGCAAGGATTTTACATGTTCAAATATGCAATATAATAATATAGAGACTGAAATATTACACAGTCAAGACAAGGTATCATTCTAAAGAATAAAAGGAATATTCCCCAAATTCTTACCTTAAACGCTAAGTTAAAATCCTCAAAGGTGTGTACTATGGTATCATTTGTTGAACATTCTGAAGCACCAATTCTGCATGGGATGAAAAAGTCTCCAGGAAGGGGTGCTGTGGGAATTTTCCCCAAACCATTTGGTTCTTCACGACCAGGATCAAAACGGTCTACTGTTAGCAATACACGTTCACCATCTATGCCAGAAAACTAGGACAATTAGCATGCTTTCAATTTTTATTTCATAGTAACTACTCCTAAAGTTTACCAGTGTCAAAATCTAAATAAAAACTGATCCAAAGAACTGGAATGACTACAACTAGAATGCACTCAGAATATGGTAAAAAACAAAAGGTCCAATTTTGACTCCATGTACTCCACAACAGGTAGAGTACTCAACATACAATAGGAAAGAATACAAATGAAGATGCATCTCCAATCCATTAAAGCAGATTTTGCAGTTGCTTCAAAAGCAGTTTCCTGTTGACTCAATGTACACACCTCCTTCAATTTCTTTCTTATAAATGACTTATGTATACACTGGCACAGCTTTCAAAGCAACCATGTGGAGTCCTGTGCACTATCCTATTTTGAGCCCAATAAAATATTCTTGTTTTAATTACTTAAACCTTCAATTCCTTTCCATGTAAGAAGAGAATAACATAACTCTGAAATAAATCTAAGCTGTAAAGAAGCATCTTTGAATCATTTATATACCCAAGGGACTGAGAAATTCAAGGTGGTCATTCATTATTAAGTAGAATCAGCTTAGTGATGAAACACATAATTGTAAATAACAGATTCTAAGTTCAGTACAATGTTTTCTATTCCTGGCGTTATGTCACAAAAATCATGTTAAGAAGAAACAAATTTATAAAGTTTACTTATTCAATCAAAAATAGAATCATTGCATACTTACTTTCATCTACTGCAAGAGTGCCAACTAAAAAACAGGTGAACGGCTTCTTTCTACTTTGCTTAGCATGACGATGGGCAAGCCGCAGTGTTTTTTCAGCAATTATTACTTTGGGATTCCTAAGAGATAACAGACACAGAATTTACTCTTTATGAACATACCAAACTAAGATATTTAGCTATTCCCCAAAATTATTAAAGAGCACACCGGGGGGGGGGGGGGGGACGGACAATGGGATAGAAGTTGAAGAAGCAATTTCAAGCTGTCATATCTCAGTCACTTCCCATCTGATCGATCACAATGCATTCCATACCCTGAAAACCACTTAGAAGCTACAATTGGTCAAGTAGTTAGAGATAGTAGTTGTGGGCATCCCATGTAAGATCTTTACCCACTGGGCTGCATTGGCTACTAGTAAGATTCCACATACAATTTAAATGTTGTCCTCTATAAAACATTTCATGGCTTACAGTCTAATTATCTTGGGACCACTTTCTCCTCTTGTTTTAACTGATTTATCTTGTGGGATTTAGGAAATAAACATCTTCTGCAGCTACAGTACACTTAATTATAGAACAATATCTCCCCTGAGGTTTGTATGGCTCAAAACGTATGGGCAAAACTGAAAAATCATAGCTCTTTCACTAGGCCCTGAGTAGGATGAGGTGATACACTTCCTGACAGAATACTGACTTTTGATCAGGATGTTTTGTCCCACTGATGTAATGCATTTATTATTCTTTGCTCTGTTCTTATGCTGATATTTTACAGTAATAGATAAGCCACTCAGAAGAGGAACAGCGTGGTGGCCCAGTAGTAAAGACACTTGCCTCTCATTCGGAAGAATTGAGAGTTCAATTCTAGGTAGCAACAGATGTTTCTCAGCTCAAAAACAAAATATCTGCTGTGAACTCTGCATAGGCATCAGGAAGGGCATCTGGGTTCAGCTCCATTCAGTTGCCCCAACTTTACCCCAAATTAAGGGATTAAGGTTTGTTTTTAAAAAGTAAGTCTTTCAGAACTTCAGTGATTAAAATGACATTCAAGTTGATAAAGTGAAAAAGCTCTCGGAGCATCATTTTGATCCTTCCCAAAATTTAACTTTTGATTTATCTTATTACCTAAATATAGTCATATGCCCTTTTCCAAGTTAAACACCAAGAAAACCCATGTTTTAATGACAATATTCTATATTATTTAAAGGTTAACTCAAAAGGTGTTTGGTGCTCCCAAACGTTCTCTACAATGTTGAGCCTGAAAGATTATAAATCTTACCTATAACTTATGTGAGAAACAGTGCTTTCTCCAATAGGAGCTGGATTCCAAAGTGCAAATTTTGATGCAGGAAAACTAAAGGATGGCATCTTTCCCCAAACCCCTCTGAAAGAAAAAACAATTCTGGATTTACCATATTTGATTTGGGTATAGTTGGAAAAAAGGTGATGACCAATGTTCAGATATTTCATCTTAGTGTCCATAACTACATACTATAAATAAGAAACTACTTTAGTCTGCAAATTCCTGATAGCCTACCCAACTACTAAACAAACTACTAAATCAATATTATAAAAAAAACAAAAACAAATTATATTCAGTGCAAATATTCACTCTCCATATCAGTAGTCTTTAAAACCATTGCATCTGAACAAAGTATCAATACCTTTGGTTTTGAAATTCAGGGGAAATTGGTTCCATGATATGTATGTATGAAATTCAAGTTTTCCACTCTATAAAAAAATATAATACAGGAAAATTAATTGGCATTAATTTTTAGCATTTTTTTTCCAACAGAAATAACTTCTATTGTTAAGTATCACTAATCCTAAACAGATATATTTTAGTTTCAGCATAGTTATACTTCAACAAATATAACTACAATTTACAATTCCTATAAATTGTAGTTATACCTGCTATGTTGCAGCAATTTATATGACTAGGAAATATGGACAATAAACCAACAGCAGGATTCATTGTGAAAGACTGTTGAGTGATTTTCCCATTACTAATTACTCAAGAATATAAATTGGCTTCACTTATAACCAACTTGGTAACAAGAATTCAACTAATGCAACAATGCTCTGTAATCATCATTAAACCTAATACACAAAGAAAACAGTTTAATATAGGCTATCATAGTCTTGTGGGAAGGGAGGTATGGCATATTCATTTCAGTCCCCAAAGGCTTCTTGGACAACCATAGCCTTTAAAAACTTCAAATGACTGGAGCTGCTCTAAGCTAAACAAATCACACTATTTTGTAGAAGAGATATCCTATTTTTAGACACTGGAAAGTAAGTTTCTAGAGGAGTAGAGACCCAGGATGAAGCTTATCTCCCCCAATCTTACTGAGTGTGCAATTACAAGTGGAAGCAGATAGTCTCTAAGTGTCCAGTTCCTAAGCCATGTTAAACTTAGAAGTAGATCATATGAATATGAAAGACATGGATCAAAAGAAGGCTTATAAAATAAGAAAGCAGACACATCTGAACTTAAGTCTTTGTGGGTTAAATATTTGAAGGAAAGAATAAAAGCACCATGACTCTTTGTATCCAGAAGAAAATACTTTTTTGAAGGAGGCATAAAGCAGGAGTGAAGGATAGACTTTGATTATTCTGTCATTTATTGCAAAATAGTCATTTCATGTCAGGTTTCTTGTTCAAATTATGAAGCTAATGCTCAAACAGAACTCTAAATTTAATAAAGCTGGGAAGATGAGATACAAATGCAAAGTTCTTCCCCTAGGAAAAGTAAATGAAATAGGATGGGAATGCCTATTGGAGGGAATATTCAGATTGGGAATAGTTTATATGAAAATAAATTTGGAATTGTGCTTAACCATAAGCAGAATATGAGTCAGTAATGTGCCATGCTATTGAAAAAGGAAATACTATTAGCTACATTATTTTTCTTTGTCTAAGGATCAGTACAATTCTTGATTCAAATGACTATATTTTCAATTAGTCAGATTCCATGTATTACATCTTGTTCAATAAATGTGAGGTATTTGCACCATCTTTTGATTCAGTTTACAAAAACAATTGTTTAGTAAATTGAAGAATTGAATAGTGAAGCCAATTACTAAGAAGTGTGACCACCTCTCAATTGGATGGGTTCAGATTAAGGCTGGAGATCCACCTAGGAAGAATGCTTTCATTTAGAGCAGGGGTCCCCGACCTTGGCAACTATAAGACTTGTGGACTTCAATTCCCAGAATTCCTCAGTGAACTTTGCTGGCTGAGGAATTCTGGAAGTTGAAGTCAACAAGTCTTAAAGTTGCCAAGCTCGGAGACCTCTGATTTGGAGCCTATACTGAGCAAGAGATTGGATTCAGTGACATAAAAGCCTTACAGTGGAATTACAAGAAAGATGATTCCCAAATAACTCAAATAAGTAGAAAGGTACCAAGAGGCTATAAAAGATGACATATAGCCAAATAAGAAACCTTGATGAACATACATGTCCCCAGATCCCAGACCTTTAAACTATTGCAATTCTTTCATATTATTTCTGAAGCACGAAGACTTATTTTGATACGAGACAGGCAGGAAAAACATTTAATAAATAAAATATAATAAAAAGCATACTCTGAACACCTTCGATTTACGTAAACCTCATTCGTAGCCCCGTGCATTAACCACAATTATTCCTTGGGGAAAAGCTAATCATTAACAAAACTGTCCATGTTCAATGTACATTGTTGAGGGACGAACAATCCACACGTTGGCGAATTACTTTAGGGAAACTGACAGAAACCAATATTGCCGATAACAATATTTTAGCCTCTCGTTCATTTTTCTGCCAACACGGCAACACCGCCTAACCAGTGAGAAATAAGGGGGAAAAAAGCATCCAAGGTGGTAGCAGAGTTAAGGATCGGAGTTTGATTTTCCCGGGCACTTCTGCACTATCTGAGTAACCTATTTGAACCCTTACTACAAGCCTCGACCCAGGGTTGTATAAAAAAGGGAGAATCATTTACAAAAGGAGAAGAGGGAAACGCCCTATAGATAAGAAGTGAAACGATAAAGATGATGAGAATTTGCACCCCCCCCCCAAAATACCCGCCTCAAGAGCAATATCGCCTCATTTACCTCACAACTCTCATTCAGACTGTTTTTATCCTAGAGCCGGACACAATCTGCTCAACCAAAGCAACTGAATTCTTATTCCCCTCCTGTTGTGGCGGCTCCAATGGCGGCACAATCAGCCAATCCGAAGCCCCACACGGCAACGCGCTTTGGCCAATCCACGCTTTGGACAAGCGCTTTCCTTCGCCTACCACCCTTTTCGAATCGTTCATTTAGCATCAATCAAAACCACCGCTCCCGCCTAATGGTTTGTCGTAACCAATGACCAAGCTTCTTAAGGAAATAAAACCGCCTTTTAAGCTTGCGCGCGCGCGCCCATCTCTTAAGGATGGGATTTTTTAAAAAACAGGTTTCTTTTAAACGGCCTGAAGAAGTCCAGTTACTGCGCAAGCGCCAAGGTTAAACCAAGATGGGGGGGGTTAGCTCTTTCCGTTGCCATAGTAATCGCTTCTAAAGCAAAGACAGCAGCCGTAATCGCAAAACACCTTTGAGCAAACATGATTAGGAAAGGACGGTTAACGATTTTACAGCCTAGATACTCTACTGGCTCAGAAGTAAATCTCAGGTACGTTGGTGGGATTAGGAGCGTCCTACTCAGGCCCTTCAGAGCTCAGTAGGGCTTAATCCCAGGTAAGTGAGTATAGGATTGCAGCCTCTTTCAAGTTGCTGCGAAACCAGCTCCGTAAATACCAACATGAAGTAATTGGAGAGTTGCTAATCTACTTTCTCTGTATCTACGCCAGATGACTTAAAGGGCAAAAGCAGCGCTTTTATGTGGTCTGTAACACTGGAATAACCTGCCTGACAGAAACTGCCTAAAATAGGGAGTCAAATGGTGCCCACTGCTGGCTTTTAAGATTTTAGTTCACTCTGAGCCAGTGTTTCTCAGCCTCAGCAACTTTAAGAGGTGTGGACTTCAAACTACCAGAATCTCCCCCAGCCAGTATGAACTAGAAATCTACATCAAGTTCAGCAAGTTGCTGAACTTGAGAAACACTGCTCTATAAAGCTGGTGGTATTTGGGTTGCAAACCAACAGGCTACCATTAGAAAACAACAAAGATCTATCCTTGTTTTCCAAGGGCATTTCAATAAACTAGGTTCTGAAATTAGCATGAATGAAACCAAAAACATTTCATGGCATTATGTGAAAATACCACGCATCTGCAGAACATCAAGTTGAGGAAGATTGCTCTAATTCTTATAGCTTGTTGTGTCCTCTATAAGTTTTCATACTCAAGGCAACAAGGAAATTATTTCCCCTACAATAATTATATTGCTGTACATGCCACAATAGATCTCTTGAATGGGCAATTGTATCTTTTTATACAAGACTTTATGAAAATAAAAATAGTCATTGTGTTGCTTAGAGAAAAAAATTCTGGACATATTGAACGAAGAATTTCTTAATTACAAACTATGAATTTTAGGCTATGGAGAACCTTTTGGCTACTTAACTGATTCAAGTTTGGCAACTACAATTTTCTTTACCTAGCTTATTGTTTGAACTTTAAAATAAAAAAATACTTTTAAAATTCAGCACTACAATATTTCTAAAGATTTATCAGCTACATTTATCTACATCTCTCAACTTGGTGACTTCTCTAAAACCAGCTCACTTCTCGACTATAGTAGTTTTAAATTTATTTCAACATTTTGAATAGTGAACCCAATTTAAAAATCGGCCATTTCCAAGAATTGTACCAAATATCTGCTAAAATACCTTTGCTCTTTCGATGTGTTCTTATGCCCACAAATAAACCAAATAGTTTTGGATCTTAGAATTAAAGTTGGACGCACTTTCTTTTGAATCACCACACAGTCAGATAGGATTGGGCAAAGTTTTGCAAAGAAGCGAACATTTGGGAGGAGACCAAATTGCAGCATGCAATTTGCAGCATGCACCGTCTCTAGACTTTTAACAAACAATATTTATTAAAGTATTCATGTATTAAACTTATATGGCTGCCCAACGTTCACACAGGTGATTCTGGGCAGTTTACAATATAAAAAAACAACACAAAAACCATACCCTCCCTGCCGCACACTAGAGGTAATACAAGACGTATACCATGTTGTATTACAACACAAAACCCTTTACATTTCATCAAGTGAATCGAAGCTGCTCTTCCAAAGCGACCTTACTGGTTCCTTGACACCCACCCCTCCGTCAGCCCTTCGCAGAGAACCTTACTGTAGTTGCCTTCACTACCACTAAACCAGGCCCGCCCCCGCCAGGCCTTTCTCCGGGCCTCCCCCTCTCTCCCTCCCGCACTAGCGGGAGCGACGGAAAGGGCGGGAACCCGGAAGCGCTTTCGCAAGCCAGCTCAGCCGGAGCGGTCGGCGGTTTGACTGTAGTCGTGGCCGGATTCTTTCCCCCGGTTTCCCTCCCTCTTTCTTGGCGGCGTATGTTTTGCCGTTGTCTCTTTGGGGCAACTGCCGGTCGCGTAACTGCTTCGCTCCTTCGCCTCCACGCTTTCGCCGCTGCTTCCTCCCTTTCACCTCGCTTGCTGCTCCTCATGAAGCCGGTCGTTGTCTTCGTTCTCGGCGGGCCTGGAGCCGGAAAAGGAACCCAGTGTGCCCGCATTGTGGAGGTGAGGGACGGTGATAGCACTTCGTGGTCCTCCTCTCCCCTCCCCCGAGTTTCTGTTCCTTACTGTCGGGAAGGAATTACAATTTCTAGCAGGCGGTTGTGTTTCGAGGAGTGCCGGCAACTTGCTTAGTCGAGGAGCGCAAAGAATGGTGGGGTCTGAAGTTCTTTAAAGGTTTGCGGTCCGGAAGATTCTTAGCATACTGTATTCCAGATGAATCTGGTACCGGATCTGACGGGTTCAGCTATGCTATCAAAAGCGGTGCCCCAGAACTTTTATCAGGGCGATACGAAAAACGAAACCAACCCATAATTCATTACACTCAGAAAACTCGGCTTTGGGGGAAATGTGAGGTAAATGGGCTTGATTGCTCTTGATGCGGGTATTGTTTTCTTTCTTTTTACAAATGCTCTTCATCTTTGTGATTTTGATTCTTATCTATAGGACGTTTCTCTCTCTTCTTTTGTAAATGATTTCCCCTATTTATATAATCCAGAGTTGAAGCTGGTATATAGTAACGTTCAAATAGGTTACTCAGGAAAAGCAGAAATGCCCTTAAAAATCATATTCTGATCCTTCTTCTGCGTGAGATTTCTCTTGGCTAAGACCTTGGATACTTTTTTCCCTTTCTTCTTACCGGTTGGTGGTGTTGCCGCGTTGGCAGAAAAATAAACCAGAGGCTAAATATTGTTATCTGCAGTGGTTTCTATCAGTCTTCCTAAAGTAAGTAGCCAAAGTCTAGGGTTTTTGTATCTCAGCAATATACATTGAACATGAGCAATGTTGTTAATCATTAGTTTTTCCCCAACCAATAATTGTGGTTAAAACTTTTGGGGAAATTTGGATTGATAGTTTTATGTAGATTAAAGTTTGAAACAGGAAAATAGCAATAGCACTTAGACTTATATACCACTTTATAGTGCTTTATAGCCTTCTCTAAGCGGTTTACAGAGTCAGCATATTGCCCCCAACAATCTGGGTCCTCATTTTACTGACCTCTGAAGGATGGAAGGCTGAGTCAACCTTGAGCCTGGTGGGATTCGATCTGCCAAATTGCAGTACTGCAGTTCTAACCACTGTGCCACTGAGGCTCTAAGATACTAGACAAATACCGTACCTAAGCAAATCCGAATGTTTCCTAATGGCTCATGAAAATGACCTTTAATTTGTCCACAAGGTAAGTTCCTTTGGGATTGAGATGGTCAGTAAATGCTATGCTATAAATAGCTGAATACCTTTCAATAAAGGGAAAAGAAATTTTTGGCACTATATTAGCAGTATGAAGGTTGAACCTTTAGAGAAGCTCTACTGTGTAGCTGTTAACCTAATTGAAAAGAAGCATGGGTGGGGGGGAGTCTTTGATGATCTCTGCAAGAGAGGTTAAATGAGGCTGGATTCATTCACAGATTCCTTTAAATGATAAAGTCCACCTTGAGTTATGGAAACTTAATTGGGTGACTGAGTCAGTTACCCTCACTCAGCCCAACCTATATCGGAATATATTTGTAGAAAATTGGAGGAGAAACGTCTATGCATGCTGCCTTCAGTTAGCAGAAGCACAACATATACTGTAAATCTAATAAATAAATGGGGTGGCTTTTGCCTTTGTGATGTAAATACTGCCAATTGTGATTTTTTTTTACAAATTATTGTTAAATAATAAACACAATATAATGCAAAAATATAAGATTAGCTTCAAAGCTTTGACATGACTAGACCAGGAGTAGAATATTCCATCAGTTTGAGGGCTGCAGTAGGCTTTGTGTAACATATCAACACCATCCTTTTAAAATGGGTGGAACTGAGAACCCTTGTAAAATGAGGGCCGAGATTGTTGGGGGCAATATACTGACTCTGTAAACTGCTTAGAGAGCACTGGGCTGGGCTGGCTTTCAGGGTATTTAAATTAAGAGAAGAGAATACTTTATTGGCCAAGTGTGGTTGGACACACAAGGAATTTGTGTTGGTGTAAATACTCTCAGTATACATAAAAGAAAAGATAAAAGGAAACAGTCAATATAAATAATAAGTATACAAGTGACAAAGTTACAGTCATACAGACACAAGTGGGAGGGTGGGTGATAAGGAGCGATGACAAGATTAACAGTAATGCAGACTTGTAATAGTTGAACAGGGTTGAGGGAATTATTTGTTTAGCAGGGTGATGGCTTTCGGGGAAAAACTGTTCTTGTGTCTAATTGTTCTGGTGTGCAATGCTCTATAGTGTCATTTTGAGGGAAGGAATTGAAACAGTTTATGTCCGGGATGTGAGGGGTCTGTAAATATTTTCACAGCCCTCTTTTTGACTCGTGCAGTATACAGGTCCTCGATTGAAGGCAGTTTGGTAGTAATTGTTTTTTCTGCAGTCCTAATTATCCTCTGAAGTCTGTGTCTGTCCTGTTGGGTTGTAGAACCAAACCAGACAGAGGTGCAGATGATAGACTCAATAATTCCTCCGTAGAACTGGATCAGCAGCTCCTTGGGCAGTTTGAGCTTCC